ATGAGTTGTATAGTCTAGTATTCTTTATATAAGAGGCAGAAAGACCTAGTAGGTGATAATACTATTATTTTAGCTAAAAGTTTACATTATAGCATTTTAAAGAAAAAGGAGAAAAAAGATGTAGTAGAGAGAAAGAAGAAATAACAAACAGTATTTTGCACTGAAGTAAATACTCTAATACTCTTTCTCTTCATAACTGGTTTTTGTAAACAACCTCCTCTATCCTTTGACCAACAAAACTGATATAATGACTGTAGCTTTTTTTATTTTAAAAAAAGTAGGGATTCTGGCTCACCCCCAACAAAGAATTAGTACTCATACCACCTTCTATTTTGAGCAAGTTATGTCTTTATTGTTTACAAGTCAATTAACACATGTGAAGCTAACACAAATCTGCTTACATAAATAGAATAATAGCTAACGAGAAGTTATACTCAAGATTTATAGTATATGTGTTAGTACTATAAATAATTTTTATCTTTTATGCCTTAGCACAGGCTATAATAGTATGTTCTATTTTGATTATCTTTTTTTCTGCCTTCTTTTTCTTCTTTCATTTTATTTCTATGTGTTCTTTTTTTTTGTATAGACAGCTTTTTCCTATATTTTGTTATCTCCTTTTTTATTTTTTTGTTATTTGTTTTTTTTATTAGTCAGTTGGAATACAAATCCTTCAGCTCGGGAAGCTAGGAGAAGAAGGTTAGAGAATTAGATAATCTTGATAAGAATAGTATATAGTAACCTTCTGTTGATTAATTGAATATGACTTTGCTTTAGCAAACTATTCTCTGGGAAAAAAATTTGACTATTGTAGTTAGATCACATCTGGGTACTATTTGGTAGCTGAATGAGTTCGAAATTGTAAAGAGAAGATATTTATATAGCTAGCTTAGTTTAGTTTATATTTATATTATAACATTATTATATTTTCTCTCAATAAATGAAAGGCAAGATCACCTAAGTTCCAAAAAAAAATAAAAAGTATAAGAAGAGTGAGTAGTTTTGTAGAAACTATTTTGTAATAAAGTTATTAATATTGGTTATGTATTGAGTTTGAATAGTTGTTTTTTTTGAAGTATAAAGAGATATTGAAAATTTGTATAATTTGGTTTTTTTTACTTGTTGTATAATATTACATAAGATTTCTTATTAGTGTTAATATTGATTTCTTAGTTTTCAAATATCATTATAAAACTAGTTTAGTAAATTGTTAGAGAGATTAGTAAGAAAATAGAAGTTTGTTTGTTTAATTTGTGTTAAACCTTTATATAAAGTTATTGTAGAATAGTTTCTTAGAGAATATAAAGAAGTAGTTTTGAAGTTGATATTTAAAAAAGGTTGTTAAAAGTAGTAAATATTGAAGTAAGAGTTTGAGCAAAGTGATTTGTTATATTTGGAGATATAGTAGATAGAATAATTTGCTAATAAAAAATAGAAAGTAGATTAATTTTGTATAAAAAGTATTTAAAGAAGTAAAGTATATATTCTTCTTGGTTACAGTAAGTGTAATTTGATATAAGAAAAAGATGAGGTAGTCTAATATTTAGATTATCTATTGTTAAAAAATTATTTAGTAAGATTTTGAAACAGAAAAAGTAAAGAAAAGTATTAAGTAATAATAAATTAAAAATAAAGAAGTTTAGTTTTAAATTAATTAGTAGTAAGTTGTGATATGTTTTAAGTTGAATTATATTATTAAAAGTTTGAATAAAGGTTATTAATTTGTTGAATTAACATAATTTGAATAAAATAAAATGATTATACCAAGTAAAGAAAGATAGTGAATAAAGTATTGTAGATTTATTATTAGTAGTAGTTTATAAGCTTCTTGTTTAACAAGTTTGTTGATGATATTATAAAAAATGTTTTTAGAATAAGATTTGATTTTGTGAAAATTACAAGAGATATTTTTAGATTTAATTAGAGAGTTGATGATATGAATAATATTCCAATTAAGTTGATTTATTTAAGTATTATTGTTATAAAAGAGATTTTTAAGTATTTAGAGAGCTGATAAGTTATCAATATAAATATAGATATGTGTAGATATTAGAAGTATAAAAATAATTGAAATAATTGCTTCAATTTTAGCTTTTGTAGAATTAGAAGTATTTGTTAGAGCAGTATTGAACCTTATATGCCTGTTATTAGAGAGAACTCAGCTGATATCTAATTTAATAAAAGGTATTTGTGAATAATATATAGAAGTATTAGTATAAAAATATAAGTTATTTAGAGGTAGATTAATAAATTGATTGTAAAGTGCTATAAGTTGATAGTGTTTTTAATAAAAGATATTTCTGTATTTGAGATTTGTAAAGTAAGAAGAGGTAGAAGTTGATGTTGTATATGTAGTTTATTAAAGATAAGAATTAAATCTTTAATTTTGAGACTATTTATTAAGAACTTAAAGTTAGTTTTCTCTTTTTGGTTTTTGCATTTAATATTTAGAATAAGGTTTGAAGCAATATTTATGAGTATAGTTTGTATTTCTAAATTAGTTCTGAGTTATAGTTTTTGTGTTGTTTAGATCTTTAGTTTATGTGTTAGTATTGTTGAAAAATTGATGATGCAAGGTGGAATGTTTCTTGTATTATAGTTATTAAAAAAGAAATCTATTCTTATATAAAATGTTACTACACCAAACCAATCATGTATTTAACCCCTCTCCCCTGAGACTCATTTCACTGATACTCATTTCATAGACACAACATTTCACTGACAATCAATTCACTGACATGTTTGTTTCATAGATAACCAATTCCTAGACAAGCTCATTTTGTAGACAACTCATTTCATATACAGCTCATTTCACCAACAAGTTAATTTCTTATAATTCCTCTAACCCTAACCTAACTCTAACCCTAATTCTAATGGTAATAATGTCAGTGAAATGAGCTGTTGGTGAAATCAGCTATCTGTGAAACAAACATATCGGCGAATTGATTGTTGGTGAAATGTTGTATCTACAAAATGAGTGTCAATAAAATTAGCTAAACTGCTGAGAGGACTCTTATCTGTTCCTTTAAGTATTATCAAGTGTAATTGAAAATTATCTTCAAAATTCTTCCTTTATAATAAAGACTTTTTTCGTGATCCTTTATCTATATTGTACTGAGACTGTTGATTAGTTCCTTTCTCAAATCTCTTCTTTTGCCTTGATACCTTGCTAAGTACCCGTATCTCATCTACTATTATTACTTTACATCTACTATCTACTCTATCTTTGCGTATTTACATCTCTCTACCTATATACTTACTCTAATAGCTACATTTATTTGCTAAGTGCTTTATTTACCTTTTACTTATCTATACACATGTTTTCATTATCACCCTCTTTTTATTAGTTTACTATCCTGACTAAACTTGGCCTGATTATTATTAGCTCTCCTACGATAGTAATACCAGATTTAATGATTATTATTATATCTAGATTTAAAGGGTTAAATCTGAATTCAGGTATTAACTCTAATCTAAACACCTAATTCGATAAGTTATCATAAGATGTTACACAAAGATCTTGAAGATTGAGTGACTGACTCACCGTTATTAAAGATAACACTATCTGATCTCGCACTCTATTACTTTGTTTATAAGTTCCTAATCTACATTTTTAATCAGCATATCTTATTCAAATTTTAAATTTGAGATATGTAGTGCCAAATTGGTAATTTATATTTTGCTTTATATAATACATTCGAATGCCAAATCTAAGATAATGTCAAATTGGTAATCTGAATTTTGTCTTTGCATATTAGTTTCAAATTCAAAATGAGGAACGAAGTACTGAATCATTATTCCTACTTGGTAACAAGCAAAAGTATAATGTTATCTTATATTATTCTTTGCTTATTATAGATTCAAAGATCAGATTTACTTTTGTAAAGATCACTGAATTTGTTTGAGAAATTATTTTTCAATTTGAATTCTTCTTAGTAAAAAAGAAGTAATTTAAAGAAGGTAATTCTATTATATTAAAAAGCTTATTTAAGAGTTAAGTACAAATATCCTGTTAAGTTCTGAAGTAAAAGGCTCTAGGGATATTAACAGTCCAGCAAATCTTGTCTTAAGAATTGGTTGGTCTAATCTTAATACAGACCAATTTATTATAGTTTTGAACTTGCCAAAGACCAGACTTCAGCTTTATCAATTTAGATCGGGCTATTAACATCCCTAGGAAGTCTCCAAAAAGAATCCATTAGTAGTGAGGATAAGATTTTTTATTTACTGGTAATTTTTTATTTTGCGTATATCTTCACATACTATGATACTATTATTTTTATTAATACCCTGTTAATAAATGTAGTTTTTATATCTGATGTAATTTTATATTAATATCATAAAGCACAAAAAAATTTTGTATTATATTTGGAAATTAAAATTAAAATTAACTTTAGCAATAAGATTAAAATGCAGGAATAACTTCATTTATTATTTGTATTTATAAAAGTAAACCATAAATTATCCGAGATCATAAAACATGAAATTTTTAGTCTCATATAATCACAGCTGTTTAACTTTTCAAACTTTAGCTTTCAAAGCAATTCGCTGAATCCAGTATAAGTTAATAATAAAATCATTACCAATTATATTTGTCAGAATTACTAGAATATATACAGGTAGGATAGGAAATGATGGGTCTCAAAATACTTCACTTATAGGAATTTTAATCTGAAAAGCTGGCAAGTTTGGTGCGTTGCAACCAGCAGGATCATTGATAGGATCTCTTGAATATTTTTTAACATTACCAAAATCTCACTTTTGTTCTACTATTCTTTGACGATAAAGTCTTGTCTAATATATATTTTTTTTAAAAAAAAAAAACAGAATTCATTAGATATGAAAAAAATATGCAATGTTTAACTTATCATTGAATAAAAAAATAAGTTAAGATCTACTGTCATTGTTCTATAAAAATATCCAGTTACAGGCTCTCGAATCCCTGGCCTTGGCTCTAAAATCTTGATACTGATTACAGCACGGACATACATTTCTATCATCTAAGTCGAGCATTTTTGTCTCAAATGACCAGTACTTTGGTTCACAGCAACTTCACAGACAATTCGTGTATGAGGATTTCTCTACATACCATCATAATGAAAATTATATTAAAACAAAATACAATATTATTAATTAAATTAAACATACATTTACATCACTAGGAGGATGAGGTATTACGGTATAAGCAGAAGGTCTTGGAACAATTGTTATATCTGGGCGCACAGCAACATCAGGAGCTATTTCAACCTCAGTTCCACTAGGCTCATAGTGAACTATATAAAAAAAAAACCAAGAATATTAAAATTCAACAACATGAAATTAACTAGAATAGATTTCTTACGAGGTTGTCCAGTAACCATTATGAGAGGATCATCAACCACACCATTATTAGGAACTTTGAAAAAATCTTGAAGCCAGGAAACAACATCCTCATGTACAGATGTAGTCATTCCAATTATATACACATTGCTAGTTTTGTTGTCTTCATTTAAATCGAAAAAGAATTTATATCCAGATAATTCGTAATTGTGAAGAAAAGTATTATAATTTTTGATTGTTATTTTTGTAGCAATTAGAAGAGGCAACCTGCATTCCATAAAATGTTAATATAAGGTAGTACTAAGTAATAAAATAATATTACCTACTTGCTCCTTGGCTTTTTTGGCAATTTTGGATATTTATGTAAAAATTCGTCAAGTCTATCCAAAATCTTGCCCACTAAATTTCATCTGAAGTACGTGCATAAGACATTTTAAAAGTAAATTAAATGAAAAATAATTTTTTAAAATGAAATGATTATTATCGTTATTAAAAAATAATTTAATCAGACGATCGACCTGATCATGCTTATTTAAATTTTATAGACCAATAAAATTTCATACTACTTGCAGGTGAAGGGTATGGCTTTATGACTAAAATGTAATGTAATGCTAAGTCACAAGACAACTCAGAAGAGATGTGTAAGATTTGGTCTGAGAACCAAGGATCTTACTGCCACTAAGATTCTGGCTTTAAAGTAAGTCTTTATTAATACTAAATGATAACTTATCTGTTTCTTTACTATCAGAATTTACAAGACTTTTATACATGAGAGATTTATCAGACTTTTAAAATTTTGACTAACATTAACCTTTGTTCCCACAAAGCCATTATTCAATTATTCTCAATTGGCTTCACTTCGAGTTAAACCCAATATAGTATTTATTAAATGCTACTTTCACATGCAGAATCTTGTGATCTAGCTTTGGTTCAGATCGTAACAGGTCATGGTTACATTTCTCACATGCCTTTACTAGGTCATGTTTTTTCCTCACACTCACATGCTTATATTTTTCCCTTTCACAGTATACTTCTTCTAAATCAAATATTATTAATTAATAGTAAAATAAAAGAATAAATCTTTAAATCTCAGATAATATTTGTAAATAATTTATGACAATCACTTTAAAGTAAAAAGCGCTAAAAATTTTTTATCTAATTGGTCTGGATACTAAAGAAATTTTTTTTTCAAATTTTATAAGTTCAATAATGAATTTTTTTGACATTCCAGTAGAGGAATTTACTAATTTACCCACTACTTCTAATTTGCTTTACTAATTATTCACTTAGCGGAGTATTTTATTTTGTTAATCAAATTTTTTCTACTCAGTAAAGTGGTGGGGAAAATTAGAGCAATCTCAGTAGAGTTGAATTATATTATAGATGTTGCAATTCCTTTATTAATCAGACTGTTAAGCAAAATAGGTGATACAAAGCACTACTGTTGTACATACTAATTTTATAATAAAATAACTATTATTCTATTTTATGATAAATATATTATTCAATATTTATCGTATTACTAGCTCTTATACTCTGGAACTGAAAAATTAATTAACTAAACATTATTTGTTTTAATAATGCATAATGTCTGCATAATGGTTGAATTATCTTGTAATGTCGTGTTGAGGAAGACTGATCAGAGTATCAAGAGGAATAAAGTTAAAATTGAAGGAAGACTGAAGTTGTAAAATCATTAAATTAGCAAAGAACTATTTATTTTGTAATTATTATTAATACAAACGAATTACATACAGTAAATTAAAATAGTACTATAAGTATAATATTTAATAATGCATAGTCAATAAAACTAATAATAATGTTTTTGCACTTTATAAGCTTCAATCTTTTTTCGCCATATTGATATTCACTAGACCATTTTTTAGTTGATATAATATTTCGGAATTAATAATATTAGTTGTTTCGTTAAAAAGTTTTTTGGAAGGTTCAGTAGTCATGGTATCAACCTAGAAAAAAAATAATAATGATAGTACATTGATAGTAGAATCTTATAATTGTGTGCAGTGTTGAATTCGACAAAGCTTGATGTTGTTATATTTTAGGAATTTTCATTTATCTGTAGTATTTGTTTTGGTAAAATCTAAATACTAATTACTGGATCGATTTTTGTAAGGTTTAAATCTAGATTTCTTAAAAATAAATTATTATATAGTATATATGCGATATATGCAATTTATTTGATTTAACTACATAACTTATATTCACATTATGTTGCTAGCCTTGTTCAGGTTCAAAATTTAAAGCTCTCAATATATTCAATATTTCGAATTTCTGTAATATTATACTAACTAAATATAGAGATATTAATACTAATCTATAGTAAATTTTCTAATTATACATGTTTATACTAATAAAAGAACCAAACAAGAATCTATAACTAAAAATAGAATATTATACTATGTCGAAGTGCAGTATTTTTTGAAGAGTCAAATTAGACCTTTACAAACTCCTATACTTAATTTATATGTACTATGTATAAATATCTTAAGAATCATCAAGATTATTCAGAATATGCTTTGATATTATACTGAGGCTTTTTCAAGACTTATTCAAGTAAGTAATGTAGATGCTTTATTCTTTCTATCTTTGAAATTAGCAGTTACACTTTGATATCTACTCAGAGCTTTATAGAGACTTATCTGAAGTATGATATAGATATATCCTTTAATTCTTTCTGTTCAAGTACTTTTGTTCTTTCTCAACATTTTCTTTATCTTAAACTTTTTATTTTTTTTGTACAGTATTTACTAATTCTGCATCTTACAGGTACTTTATCTAAATATTTTTTCTTGTAGCCTAAGAATCTTAAGAATCTTTATTATAGATTCTTGAAGAGTAAATGAAATACTAGGACACCAGAACCTAGACTAGATTCTGTTCTTCAGATTTAGAGGTATTCTTTGATAGCAGATAAATAAGTTTTTTAATTTATTGTTTTTCTTAATTCGTTTTTTTCTCTTTTTTAAAATTTATTTCAATCTTAATCTTTTGTTACCACTTGTTTAGAGTTTTAGGACTTTGTTAGGATTTTTATCTGTCTTTTGTTTTAGATAGATACTTTTATTATTAGTGTTTATATCTGACTAGTTTTTAATATTAATTAACTCTTCCAATAGATTAATATCAGCAATCTCATTAGCAAAATTTTTTAATAATTTACTTGATTTAGATAAATAGAATATCTTATAGTTTTCTTCTTAACTAATCTATTTGATAATTCATAAAAAGATAAGCAAAGTACAAAGATCTATTATGATTATTTTTCTTTACTTCTTTTTTTTTCTTTTTAGAATATTGATATTTTAGCAATATTGTTTTCTAGTGAAATTAGCATTACATTTAAATAAGTCTTTGCTTAACTTTGTCTCATCTTTGTTCTTAGGTTTAGGCAAATTATTAATTTCTTTCTTTTTATTTTTAGAATAACTATAGTCTTTAGGTGCATCTTCCAGAACTAGAGTAGAACAGAGTCTTTCAATTAGAGATGTATTCTTTTTCTGATCTTTTAAATTTCTTTTATTATATTTTTATTTTGTTTTAGCTATTAATATTTTCTTTTTTTTTCTTCCTCATAATCTTAGGCTCTTTGACAATTTTAGTTTTTGAAAGTTCTTCTCAGTAGATTTTTAGTAAGTAATCCTTGTTTTTGTTATAACACTTTTAAATTAACTTTGATATCTGCATTAAGGATTTTTTAGAATGATATTCTTGGTTTGTTAGACCTATTCAGATATAGAGTAGGAGGTATATTATTTTTCTTCTTCTCCAATTTGGTTTTTTGAAGCTTCATATATATTAACTTGTCTTTCTTTGTTAGGTTGGCTTAGATTTTTTCTGCTGTTAGACTTTAGAATATTATAATTTAGTTCTCAAGATTTGTTTTAATAGAGTTGAACTAATTCTTTCTCTTGTATTTCTAGTTAGTTAAACAAGGCTATAAGTTGAGTATTTAACTCTCAAATTTCTTTCTTTAGATCAGGTTTGTTTTTTGATATTGAAGCTTAATATTTTTGTTGTAGTAGGGTCTTTTTATTAATTTGTTTGCTTCTGTAATCTATACTAATATTTTCTTCCATATTGTAGATCTCGAAGCTATTATTGTAAACAGAATTCTGCTTTTGACAAAAGTTAATCCTTTGGGCTTAGATAAATATATAGAGATACAGAATATTATAATTTTTTTGGTATTTATTTTTGTTCTTTCTAATTTTTTTATAATTATAATAGAGAATTTCATCTGATAGTTAAGAACTAGAAAGTATAGTGATAAGGTTTTTATTTATTTTTCTATTAACTATTCAATATCTCTAGATAATTTCTTTAACTTTTCTTCTATTCCTAAATTTAGTATTAGTTATTATTCAGATTTCAGGTTTGGTTTGTGAGTAGAATTAGTTTATTCAGCATTACATATCTTATAGTTACTACTAATTGAGAAAGTATGAGTTAGTTTTAGACCAATACTAGTTCAGAGGCTATATTATATGAGGAGTTAGGTCTACAAACAATCAATACTAATACTACAATCTAACAATTAACTCTAAGTTAAAAGGCTGAATGAGATCATAGAGAATTTGGTCTGGGTTTTAGAATTACAAGATAAATTTCTTTAGATAGATATTTTTGGGTTTTTGGGCTTTTATTACTCTTGTTTCAGAGTTTAATCTTTTGGTTCTTATACTTTTACTTTATCAAGTAGTATAAGATCTGATTCTCTTTGCAATTGGTTATTAATTCTAACAATAGAAATTTATAAGACTAACTAAGTGATGATTTGTTATTATTTTAATTAATTAGAATTTGATTATTAGGAAGAGGTAATTAGAAATAGCAAATATAGTATTTGGAAGTTATTTTAGAGGTTTTTAAATTGTTTCAAACTTGAGATAATTTATTGAAGAGGAAAAAGCTATTACTTATAAACTTTTACAAATATTTAAAATATCAAATATATTCAATATATTAAATATATTTGATATATTGGGTATATTCAATATTTTGAATTTCTGTAATATCATACTAACTAAATATAAAGATATTGATACTAATCTATAGTAAGTTTTCTAATTATACATATTTGTACTAATAAAAAAACTAAACAAGAACTTAT